ATAGATGGATGAGAGAGAGAGAGAGAGAGAGAGAGAGAGAGAGAGAGAGAGAGATGATTCTTAAGGACCCAAATGAAAGACACCCCAAGCCAAATGTTTGAGGCAATGACAAACAAAAGAAAAGGGCTTCCACTGAAGCTTCCAAGCGAAGTTTTCTAGAACAATGCAAAGCATTTCCATCTGTGCCAGAACAAAACATAATATATACACATTTGGACGAATAGAAAGCCCCTATTTTATTGCATAATGATGTGGTTTGCAATAAAATGAACCCTAAGGATAATTCATGACTTAGACTTACTAAATATGGGTTACAATTTAACTCCTAAGTGTTTCCAAAAAAGATTATAAAAAATTGTTGTACAGAATGGAAAATAAAAACAACCCAAACTAGTTTTAAGGACTGAGTGAGCTACATACTTGGCTGAAGGGGAGAGGGAGACTGAATTCGAAATCAACCTTCCCATTTCAAGGGACAGATTTTACATTGGGGAAGATGTCCCACACTCCCTCCCTCCCCCTTGATGCCCTGGGAGAAAATACTATAGGAGAAACACCCATCAGTCACAAGGAGGGAAGGTGGAGAGTGACAGTCCTGGGGAATGAGGCACAGGAGAGGACATACTGCGATACATTGGGTATAAAGAAACATCAAATGTGACTTCTTATGTTGGCTACAGTTTTAGGAAGCTGAATGCCAAAACTTTTCCATCAGTTGGTTTAGGGATTGTTAAACAGGTGTCGGGTACAAATACTGACCTGAATTGAAACCAGAGCCAAATATTCTTTGAAACACCTGCACACTTGAACAGACAGGATTCAGAGTCATTTGATAATTAAATATGCAAATGAAGCCTCTCAAGTGATCACCTGATATAAAAGATTTGCAAAATCTATTCCTTTCCTCCAAATCTCTGTAACACTTTAGTTTCTGAGACAAAGAGAATATACTATGTTATTAGATATATGGCATATTAAAGCAGATGTTTTCAAAGAAGCATCATTTAAAGAATTTTTTTCCCTTCTTATTTGAGGCTACAAAGATGGAAGAACAGCTGAAAAAATAGAAAGCAGACAGAAAGCCTAAGTCCAGAGTGAAGAGGAAGGAAGTGCTAGAAGATTAGAATGCAAAACTGAGTTTGGGAAGCTGCGTAGGAAGTACAGATAAGATTGGTTAATAATACTTAAAAAAAATAAAGTAGTTGTGTTCCGGAATAAAGGAAGGATACTGTGCAGAATCTGGGATGAGAGAAGATTTTACTGGAATCACAAGATTCCAGCCAGAATGTCAAGACAGGTGTGCTGGGGTCAGTCAGCCCTAATTCAAAGTGGGTACCCAGGGAAGGAGGATCTTGCCAGACAGGTGGTGCTGCGCCTGTAATTTGCAAGGCTCGGAACCGAGCGCTGGATCCGAATGGCAGGACAAGCAGGAGGCTTGCACAGAGGGGCACAACCGCCAGCGCAGCTATGGAAGCCCGAGTGAGCAGGGAAAGGCTTGGGCGTGCGCTGAAAGGTGGGAGGAACAGCTCCTTGGGAAGAAAGAGATGGCAAGAAGAGCGGCGGGGGGGGGGGGGGGGGG